TATATATATATATATATATATTTTTTTTTTTTTTTTGTCTTTTTCCGTGTCCGGCAACAGATCGCAACCCTCAGTGTTGCCCCCGTACCGGACCGGGGACTGGCAACGGGATCGCAACCCTCGGCGTCGTTCCCGCGCCTCGCTCAGCCAGTGAGCGGGAACCGGTCTGTATGTGGGATCCGAACCCTCAGGCGGGAGCGCCGCTGCGCTTCCCAAGCGGCGCACTATCCAGTGCGCCACCGGGCCGGCCCTTTATATTTTGTTTTTATGAGGAAGACAGTGCATGATACTATGATTGTGTTAGCGTTTTGAATCTTTGGCGTCTGTAATAGCATCTGTTGAGTGAGATGCTGTTATCCCCATTTCTCCACCTAGTAAACTAAGGGAGAGAGAAATAATGTAACTTTCCTAAGGCTACACAGTGAGTAAGTGGTTGATCCAAGAGTTGTAGTCTTGTCTGATCTGCCTCTGTAGCTCCTTAGTCACCCTGCCTCTCTTCTGGGCCAGAATACTTAGAAATGGAGGGGGCAAAGTTTTATTTCTTCCTATTATTTTAAACCTCATTTCCTCAATATTTGATAATGAATAGTAGCTATGGTAATTAAATTGGGTGCTTTCCTAGATTTCAAAGAGAGATTAAAGCTCAATTTCATTGGGGATTTGGGTGAAGCACTGAATTAACATTAAGGCAGAATTTAAGCAGAGTTATGAATTCTTCCGCTACAATGGAATATCTAGAAACATCCATTAAGGGGCTGCTCTATCAAAGCTAAAATGCCAAAAGTTTTAATATGAAGAGCAACCAGAAATGCTTGTAACCATATCCTTCTGGGAGTGGTAAGCCTATCATGGTTGACATACGAGTTCCTGTTGCTTCCGAGTGACTCTGATACCACTCCGTACAGCTTTTTATTGTTGTTCTATAACCATATCCTTCTGGGAGTGGTAAGCCTATCATGGTTGACATACGAGTTCCTGTTGCTTCAGAGTGACTCTGATACCACTCCGTACAGCTTTTTATTGTTGTTCTGTTATTACTTTGGGGTATAAAATTCAGAGATTTAAGTACCTATCTAATATAAAAAACAAGTTAACTTTGTTAGTATTGAAAGTTACATATAATAATACTAATTATAATTAGTATGGCTCAAACTTAAAAACCAGATTTTGTGTACATTATGAATATGATGTGTGAGATTATTCTCTATCTTACAAATGAAGAAATAAGTCTCTAAGTAGTTTAGTATTTTGTCCAGATCTCACATCGAGTAATGTCAGTGCCTAAGTAGAAGTCAAGTAGTTATTCCTCACTGGGCACATTTACTATTATTCTTCATAGGTATATATTTTTCAGTGTGAAAGGGAACTGACATCTCAAAATGGCTATTAAGAATGCTTCGTATTCATGTTATTTGTTGTTTGGAAGTGAATTCAGAAAGCCAATCTATAGTGCGTTAAAGTATAGTTTTATTGAAGTGATTTATTCTTGACCAATGTCTCTAATCTAAAGGGTCTAAAGGTTTTTATATGATGGATGAGAGAATATGACTTTTGCTATTAGAGAGAAGAATCTGTTATGGATAGATAGATTGTTTTAGTCAATTGAGAATTTTCTCTGTAAGGTTTTGAAATTTTTAGCATTCATTTATTTTAGGTAGACTTCCTCCAAATTAACTCATATCTAACCATTCTATTCACTCATATCTAACCATTCTATTCACTTTGATTATTTTCACCCCATTTTGCAGGATAAGAATTGAAGATTTCAGTTGTTTATTTATAATGTGAGAGACTTTGTAAAATAGACTTCCGGGCAGTCCTTGCCTTTGCCTGTTTCGTATATTTTATAAGTAAAGTTACTAAGGGAACTAAAGATTTAATCAATAGAAACTAAAAGACCTGAGTGAATTTGGTAATTATTTTTGATAGGGAGAGACAAGTAATGGAATTACCTAAAAACTTGCTTACTGATGATGAGACCATCATGGCATCTGTTGCTAGTCTTTAGATTCCAGTAATCTACCAAGAGAAGTGGGTAAAAATACAAACTAAATACAAACAGGTTCCAAAGGCTTATAACATTTTAGTTTGGTCAGTGGTGACTGTGAAGCCTAAAGAAATTGCACACTCTCATGTCTTTCTCTTCTCGCAAGTTGCAACAGGAACTTCTAGCCATAAAACAGCAACAGGAACTCCTAGAAAAGGAGCAGAAACTGGAGCAGCAGAGGCAAGAACAGGAAGTAGAGAGGCATCGCAGAGAACAGCAGCTTCCTCCTCTCAGAGGCAAAGATAGAGGACGAGAAAGTAAGAGGCATCAGGGTAAAAGACGGACTCTCTTTCCTCATGTTTAGCTGATCGTCGTTCAAAAAGAAGCTTGATAAAGAGTGGAATTAAACTTGCCAAAATTGTCTGTGTTTAAGTAAAAGAACGAATTATAGATCCAACTGTAAAGTTTTGACATTCACATATGAGCTCTCTTTATTCAGTCTGCAGAGCATCTCGAGCAAACAAAATTATTTGGCAGTGATGCTAATTTCTGTTGTTTTAAACCTTAAAAATAATGTCATACGAATGCGATCTAGCATAAGTCATCCTGTTTACTAATAAAGTTACATCCACATCCCCTCACTGTTCCTTCCTTCCTCCTGCCCTACAAGTAATAATTGCTGTGTTTAGTTCCTGCCTACTCAAACTTTGGACAGACTTAAGGTAGAACACTTGTAAAAGAACTATCCACAAGAGGGAGACAGATCCAAATAATTCCCCTGTATTAGGTTAGTTCAAAATCAGATTGCAGCATGGTTTAAACTTTGATGACTTGAACTGGAATTGTCAGCAATATTTATTTAATGCTTAAAGGGGTTGAAAAAAAGTTAAATTTTTCAAACTAGTGACTTAGAAAAGATCATTTTAATGTGTTTAAGGGATTTAATATGGTCTCTCAAGGTTCTTGATTTAAAAAAAAAAAAAAGTTTTGTTCCTCAGCAGTATTTTTTTAAACTTAAAATTAGTATTTATTCTGGGAATCCCCTTTCTGCAAAAGCAATTAGAGAAATCATTGAAGGCCTTTTGAAAAGAGGCAGTTTAAGTAGTAGTTACAAAGCGTTACTATGCCACTTTCTAAAATCTACTTAAACTCGGCTTTCTTCTTTTAATAGGAAAGCTTCATATTCCATGACCAGTGATGTTACTTCTTAATCTTTGTTAAATATTCAAGAGGAATGAGAAGACAAAACTCACAATCAATATCAATTTTTCTGTGTGTGTGTGTGTGTGTGTTTGTGTGTTTCAGGGGCAGTGGCAAGTACAGAGGTAAAGCAGAAGCTTCAAGAATTCCTGCTGAGTAAATCAGCAACAAAAGACACTCCAACTAATGGAAAAAATCATTCCGTGAGCCGCCATCCCAAGCTCTGGTACACGTATGTTCAGTGTTCGGCTGTTTTCATTCCCAGGGGTAAAGAGCACAGATTCTGTACTTAACCAACCTGGGCACAAATCCTGGGCCTGCCATTTCTCAGCTGTGTGGCTGTGGGCAAGTTCCCTGAATTCTCTAAAGATCAGTTTCCTTCTCTATAAAAAGAAGATAATAATAGTACCAGTCCTCTAGGGTTGCCTGAAAGGTCCTATGAAATAATGTGGCAAACCACCTAACAGAGAGCAAAGCATAATAAATATTAGCATTTATCATCTTGAGGGCAAGGAAATATATATTTTCTTTGTTGAATGAGTAAGTGACAAACGTAGGGTGGGGCATAGAAAAATTAATTTGTATTTTGCATTTTTCTGAGATGGTACTGCTGATATCTATACAAAAATTTCTGAAAATTTGGCAGTTATGATTATAGTTAACTTGGTTAGACAGAAAATGGAGGTCAGAACTATTTTTAAAAGTCCAGAAGATTTTTGACTCAATTTGAAAAAAAAAAAAGGAAGGAAGGAAAGAAGATAAAGGAGGGAAGGGAAGAGAAGAAACTAAATAAATAAATCTAAGTCTTCAGTAACCCAGTGAAATAATTAATAGTTTGGCTTCTGACACACAAACTGACAACCTAATACAATGTGGTATTACAGTTTTTATGGAATTGTATTTCCCCAAGTCCAGTAAAGAGAGATTATACAATACACAGTTCTTTCTATAAAATATGAAGGATGTGGTGTTTTTAAAAATCAGGGCAAAGAACTGATAGGCAAATCATATTTGCATAATAGGCTAATAATCAATAGTTTAATTTCTCTCATAAATGTGTTTGCTGAATGACAATAGGATTTTATCCTTACATGTTTTTTAATCTCTTATATCATCAAGGATAGGAAGTAAATACTTGATTAACTTATTATATAGAAACTAAGTATCGCAGGAGTTTTATTTAATGAGTTATTATATTTATAAGTCCATTTTATAGTTATCTGCTTCCAAAAAAGGGGTAGTAGTCAGATTCTAGAATGTTTTATAAATACTTTTTAATGATTTACATAATTTCTCTCATGAACGTCAGGTGACTTGAAAAATCAACCTCTGACGAAAATTTTCAAATGTTCAATTAATATCAGAAAGGATTTCAAAAGAAATACTATTTTGTTACCTAAAATTATAGATATAATTTATAACTAATTCATAATTCCTTCAAAATTTATAGCCTAAATTAAGAAAAGATAATACCGTTTTGCAGTGAGAAATAACTACATGCAAACAATTTGTCAGCTGAAAACTCCTTTAGCTCTTTTCTTGGTTATATTAAACATGGCTTTCACATGTTACTTAGAAATTCTTTCTGGTTTGTAAAGAATTGAACTTTAGTAGGATCCAACTTCAGATAACCATAAATCATTAGTTTATAGAATCTGGATTTAATACCATTTTTGCCAGTTTTAGTTTGATGAAATATCCTTAAACCAGTTAATTCTTCAGAATGTATGATTCAAATAAATAATACTGGTAGAACAATCATTGTGGTGGTGATACTATGCCCTGTTCATTGTTTTTATCACATATAATAATTGTAGATGTTTATATCCATTGGATAGCCTGTGTTCAGACCTGTAAACTATTCTCCAGTAGAACAATTGCAACTCTGTTGTGATATTCACCCAGGAAAGAGAAAGCATTTTTAAAAATCAGTTTCATATTGAAGAAGAATGTGATCTCCATTCTTTCCTACTGAAACTGCTATGTAATTGAGGAGGCCTGAGGCTGTTGGCACAGTACAGTACCATCTTTTCAGTAAAAAGTCACCCTTATGTACTTACATGTACTCTATAGTAATTTTTAAAAATGACATCCTTGTATATGTTTACTTTAACCTTGGTTGTTCTACATTATTGACTAAAAAGGATTTCCATGATGATTTTTTCCACTATTAGGGCTCTTAAGAAAACATATACAATAATCTTAGATTTTCAAAAGCTCCGGCTGTTGGTAAATCCTCTCTTTTAGTGTAGTGAACTTTTCTATGTGACCATATGACCAAACACATGGTGGGCATTCTTAGGAATCCTGCATCCTTCTGTAACATACTGCTACAGTGAAGTTGGTTACATGAGGCTGTGGTTTGTATACACTAAGAAGAAAGAACATAAACACAGCTGAGGCACGCGTACAGCATGTGCAACTGATTATTGCTGACCAACATGCAGTAAAAATGCCAGCGTAAATGGTGAAACTTCTCTGTCTTTTGTAGGGCTGCCCACCACACATCACTGGATCAAAGCTCTCCACCACTTAGTGGAACATCCCCGTCCTACAAATACACATTACCAGGAACACAAGACGCAAAGGATGATTTCCCCCTTCGAAAAACTGGTAAGTTGGTTTAACAAGAACTCTACCCCCTCTTCCGTAACATACCTGTCATTTCATTTTGCCACATCTCTAGAGGAAAGTCACAGGTTTTCAGTCATAGATATTATACTGTCCCCATCCCTGCCCTCAGCATAAACAAACATGCTCGTGAGCACACAGGGACACACACACTCAAACCTACTTATTTCTACATCAGTTGATTGACTATATAATTGCAGTACCTTTTTTAAATTTAAAAGTTTATCATATGTGAATTTTAGCCAAATTATTTTCTTACTAGTAATAAAGGATAGAGTAGAAGAAAGTAGAAATTTGATTTCTCAGAAAATTTTACTCTTCTCCATCTCCATTTGTAAGGGCCTCTAATTTCCTCCATTTATCTGTTTTTATGCTGGAGCCTCAACCATTTACTACAAAAATGGGAATAATAAACTTTTTTCCTCATAAATATTTTTAAAACCTTAAATTTTAATTGCTTATGTGATGAAAACAGGTAAGGTGAAGGTGACCTTCTGAGTAAGTGACTTGCCTAATGTCTCATAGATTACAGGAGAACTCAGTGTGAAGATATGTACCTGATAATCTCATGTAGTTATGTTAAAATTTGTTTAGAGGAACTAGCATTATGATGCTTCTATTTGTAATTTAGTAAACGGCCCTGAGGCTCTAAGGCCTGTATTTGTTTTCCTATTTTCTCCTTTCTGAGCATTCTGATATGTGCATATTTAATGCATTATATGCTCTTACCACCATAATAAATATATTTAAACTTTAGCTAGGAATACACATAAACAGCAGTTGTGTACATTCTGTTCTAAATCTTAAGATGTTTGCCAAATACATTTTTTTAGAAACTGTTATAAATTTGAAAATTTTTATATCCACTACTGATCTTTGTAGAAGATAGTTTGGTCTATTGTATTTTACTCTGTTCTACCTGAAGAAGTATATAGATCGATGTAATTTGTATATGAAATCTACAGAGTGAAAATGGTTTCAAATAATTATCTCCATTTTCCCAAGCAATTCTGAGTAATTAAAATGGATATAGATTGTAAAAACACATGTTGGGGCCGGCCCGGTGGTGCACTGCTACAGTGCGCTGCTTGGGAGCGCGGTGGCGCTCCCGC